AGCGACTGGAACTTGGTAATAACCCAATGCTAAATCAAGACTCGTATAATACCAATAGCCTCCCAGCTGATCTATTTGATCTTCAACGAGTGGCAAAGGCGACTTATTCTTTATCGTGACAGCATTTAATTTTCGATAATCGACACACATTCTAATGTCTCCGGTTTTCTTTTTTACGAGCGTAATGGGACTCGCATACGGTGACTCGGATTCTCTAATTATTCCGTTTGCCAATAAATCATTGATAATTTCGCGAACAACCCTTTTTTCCAATTCCGCAAGACGATAAGGGTGATACGCGATCGGTTCGTTCGTGAGACATTTAATCATAGACACCGTATTCGTTTTCCCGAGGTCACGCATCGAGGTCGATATGCAATCGCGAAATTCTTCGAGTAACGCAACGCATAATCTACGTGCTTTTTCCCCGATGTTTCCTACATTTAAAGTTGGATTTTCTTCAATAATGTATATATCCATTGCCGATGTTACTTGCGGTCGTTTCGCATCTCTCGCGTTATTAAATGTTAATCGATTCCCTCGTTTCAACATTATGACGTGCTCTTGTTGTAAAAAGTCTAGGATAACAAAAGAATCTACAGTCGCGGTTACATTCTGGACCTTCAATGTAATCGTTGCAACTTGATCAATGACGAATGTTTTAATAAGCGACGAATGGACTACAGTACATGCACTTCCTGTATCCACAAGACTTTCTACTTTGTGTCCGTTGACATGTATGTTGCAACGTGATTTCCCGATACGGTCCGCGGTCCGCGTCGGGAAGTGTGCAAAATGAGAGTTTTCCGACTTCTCACGCCTTTACGGGAAAACCCGAGCGCCAGGTATCAGAGGATACCGGCGTGAGAAGCCGAACGTCGCGAAAGTTACCACAGCTAGCGATCCGGATCGCGGAGAGGGACGTGGATCGTTGGCGAGGAAAGGAAGTCTGAGAAAGCCGTCTTCACGGCAAGACGGGGCAGATCAACACAGCACGCGTTTAAAATAATATAGAATATATTGTACGCGAAAGATGCTACAGAATACGGTGTACACTGCCGAGCTGTCGTAGCGTCTAAGGCCACCGGGACGACCGATAACCGACACGAGAACTACGTTTCGATAACATGTGTTAATTTTGTTCACGTTAGCTCAAATTCCGTCGCGATTCGCACAAAAGCGACTTCGGAAACGATGTTCGGACAGTCTTAACGCGGTCGCGATGGGCTCGACCTCTTCGACGAGAACGTTAACCGGCAGCGATCTAAACACGTGCGCGTTACAATGGACTCGTGACTAGATGTTCGTCATTTCTTGCGATAACCTACGAAAAGGCGATTTCCCGCTAACAATGCTATTTTGCCCGACAGTGTGCTCGGCAGCCACCAGGTAATCCGACCAATTCACGATATCCTATCCATGAGCGTGAGGTAAAGGAGGAAGCGCTTACCGTACCGTTCCGCACGTGTCGCTGACGAAATAGGACGAGATACACGATCTCGTCGCACGCGTTGGCTCACGTGCTTCCCCCAGCCTCACCTCAATGGTCGGCGGCACGCGGCACCTTATGGCGACCAAATTCAAATCGCGTTATCGGCGCACTCGTCAGCGGCGGTCGTCCAGTCTCGTCCCTCGGCGACTTTGGTGACGTGTCGGTGCTAGCATCCCTCGAAGACTCTGGAGTGGGCCGGGTCTCGGTGCACTCGAGAACCCGGCTGATTTCACTATCCTAAACGGCCTCCTGCCCCTTGAAGGTCGTAGCGGAGTTCAGGGGCTGTTACCAAGAACCTCCAGCCCCTGTCCATTTGAGCTTCGTCTGGCCAGTCCGTGCAACCGGCGCCGGGTTGGACGGGATCGGTAGTCTCTAAGCCGTATCGCTCGGTGTTGTCGTCGTTAGCCCAACGCTATTGCCCTTCAGATACGCAAATTAGTCATAACCCTGGGTTACCCTGGTGGCGCTCGCGATCTTGGTCGGTCTCGTTCCCCGCGGAGAGTTCACCTACTTTGTGACGCGGCAATCTGCCACGATTCCTTATAATATTTACCTCTTTTTGCCTGTAATTTTCCTTGGTGTGGCCCGCTTTTTTGCAGATGCTGCACTCTACCTTTGGCCTCCTTAGCGATGTTCTTCTCCATCGCTTTTGTCGCTTGACCTCGGTGCTCCACCTTCTTCTTATTCTCCTTAGTCGGCATACTCCCCATCGTACACATTGACGAGTAAAGTTCATTGTGGTCCGAGTACTTAGTCGACCGCAACGTCCTGGCGATCGTTTCGTCCGGTATCCCGAAGATCACCATATCGATGACCTGTTCGTCCGACAGCTTTATATGTAACTTCCGGATCATATTCAGTTTTTGAAAGCATTGGTCGCCTAACGACTGCCCTGCTTTCGCCTCGTACAGATCCGCCTCCCCCAGCATTCTTGAAAACGGCATTGCGCGCCGAAATTGAGCCACGAGATATACTTTTATCTCCGCCCACGTGGTGGTGACCTGCATGCTCGTGTCATACCATTGACGAGCGTGCCCCTTCAATCGAGATGCGATTAAGCGCATCACGCACAAGTTGTCTCATGAAAATCTGGCCACCAACTCGTTTACGTGGCGGATCCAATTTTCTATAGACACATCTTCCTTCGCCGGATCGTACACCGGGATCATCTGTTCGTCCCCCGGGCGCACATAGGACGGCGACTTTGCATGAGAAGTAAAGTTCGCGTTGACATTTTCCACTCCTCGTTGCGCGCGATCAGAGCGATCGTCCTGCTCCAGGTTTTGCGACGTGGACTTTGCGAACGCCTACGTGAATCGCGTCTCCTGACGTTCTGCGTACGGGAACGCGAACGCGAAACCGAAGCCCGTCGTCGCGGTGCCTGCGAACGAGCTCGCGAATTTCGCGATACATGCGATTGAGATCGCGATTGTCGCAAAAACTCCTCCATGATGCTCTCCAGTTTTTCCAACCGCGATTCCACGCCACTAGACCTTTCAGCCGCTACGTCGGAATAACGGCTCCATGATGCACGGTCCATATTACTCATTGTCGCTGTACCTTAAACAATATATAACTGAATCCTACACTTAGTCACTATTCCTTATCACTATTTAAACTATAATGCACTTAATCCAATAATATTGTCTATACACGGCACGTTGCACTTAGTGTCTGGCTCGCTGTATGCAAAAATACAGTTCACCCACAACAACAATTAAGTGTTTGTTCAAATGTGACGCGATCTGTCCCACTTCTGATATGTAAAATCAGAAACAGTGAAAATACCAATGTAACAAAGTCTATATTTAATCAGTTCTTGCTTTAACGAAAGTCGATACAGTTCTGACTTCCGCTAGAAAATACAGTCGTGAGGACACCCCTGACGTTAGGCCCTTCGTTCACAAGAGTCCTCTGTCCTAAAACCTCCTTTAAGAAGGGGAACGCGCAGAGACTAAACACATGGCCCGCTTCGGGCGTTTCTTTAGCTCGAATATCCTAACACTATCTCGAATATTCTAACACTCATTTCAGTAGAAGGACGTTCCTAATTTTAGTCCTCTTCTCTCATTAGTCGTGCAATGAGTTGATTGATATTGTTTACGTACTACTTTACCTCTTATGAAGTCAAGAATCACGCTGGTTAAAAAATAACGCCATGAAACAAAGATGGAATTTTCATGTTTAAACGTCTACCTCAGTATCGTATAGAGCAATGCCACTTGAATTCTTCAAACGAGACAACGAACTGCTTACCTTGAAGTCATATCGCAATGAAAAAGAAAGGAACTGTTTTGATTGACTCAACACTCAATTTATTCAATTTTGGGACATGTCCTTTTAGAATAATTGGAACTTGGAACACATCTGCGATATACTTGTACTTAAGTTGTATTAAAGTTACGACTTATTAAATAGACTCTCTGATACTTATAGGAATTGCTCATCATAGTTGAACACCGCAACGTTTCAGCATATAAGAACGCAAACTAATGACATCACGGTGAATCCCCATCGAAACAACGATCCCCTTTCCCTGTGACGCCATTAGTTTGGGTGCTCGCCATGCACTGAAATGGTTTTGGTCATGTATAGGGTATGAATAAGATGTATATACATAGTGTCAACAATGTTGATTGTTGTCAATCAAGGAATAAATACTTCAATTCAAGCTACCCTTTCTTTATATCGTACATGAGTAATACATTATCTTTATATGATTGTGTAATGCTTTTTATATGATTGTATTAACACATTGTCACTAAGTAATTAAACATATCTTTATATATACGTTAAAAATCAACCACTTTCAACCCTTTCTTTATATCGTACATACGTAATTGTACAGGATCTATATACTTTATACCTCGATAAGTGAAACAATTTTATCTTGGATAACTGAAATTGAGTCATACCTACCATGGTTTCCATTTCTTCAGCTGTTTAGCAATTTGAATTCAGTCATTATAGAGGTCTAGTCAATATTTACAATAGTTAATTTTTCTTCTCAGTTATCTATTTGAATGATTTTTTTTTATGTTTCACCCAAGAAGTGTTTATAATACTTGAATTCAAAGTTCACATAGTGAATTTTATAAAATATTGTTTGTTTTACAAAAAATTACTATAGACAATTCCAGAAACTCAGTTATAAAAATTTATTAGTTGAAATTTATAACATGATCTTTTAAAGAGAATTCACTGTTTCGTTTAACGAAATTACATAGTTCTCACCTTAAAGAACTATCTTTTTGTATATATTCAACAGACAGTAGTCGTAAGTTTATAAAAGGCAAGGACGTGATGTTTTTCAGTTCTCGAGCAGTGAATGTTTTATTTGACGAGCAATTGATTATTGTAGATCAGTCATTCCACGTTTTGCTACAAATTCATCAATCAATGATTTATAAAATCTTCCTAATTTAGCCTAGCATGCACTTTTTATGTCTGCCTTTACTTTAGAATACAATAGATTAGCGGTTTTGTTTACGTTGTTATTGTATTGTAGCGGGACCAGAATCCGGAGGTCAATGTCGTGACGAATCAGCCTAGAAGCCTGGCCAAGGTAAGTTTTTTTCTTCAGTATCAGTGGTTCTTAGTTCTCTAAGTATAAACGTTTGACAACTAACAGTTTTACAACGTTAACAAAAAAAAGCAGAATAAAAATAAAAATTATTTTGTTTCAGCCTTATTAAATATTATGGAATCTTTTAGGGTCTGCCAATTAATAGAACTTACTGATAATTTATGTAACGACTAACCACACAAATCTTTCTGTGGTTGTTGTTGGTCTGGTTTCTAAATGATTCCTTTTATTATTTTTAGTTCCGAAGATTATGTATTTCCAAGATAATTTAAAATTTTTGTGCATGTACGAGTTACAAGTTACTAGGTATAAAAGTACAATAATTATAGTTTAATCTTACAAAGTAAGTATGTAACGTTGTGATGAATTTTAATTCCTAGTAATTTGCAAGAATTGAAAAGAAACCCAGGCTGTATTTTCCACGGAAGGAGCTGAGAACCATTGAAACGGATCTGTAATATGCGTTGTTCGCCTCTCAATCATTTCACCAGCTTCTTGTACTATTTCTTTTCCTTTTTTCATCGTGAATTATTACATCATTTCTGGCCTCAATGCAGGAATGTATAGAACGCGAAGAGCAGGTTGGTATATATCTTGGGGATTGATGGTACTCTAAATGCAGGAAAATTTTACTTCTAAGGAATCGGTTATATTGCCTTTAATAAATTTTAACTTTACTAAATTCTCATAATCCGTATCGTAATACCAATTTTCTTAATTGTTATCAGTTTTAATATTACAATAATATCAATGGTTATGATACTTTATCCTTTGAAATTATGTTCGTATACCTGTCAAATTTTCTGTGTAATTCAGATTACTTGCTACTCGCAAGGAACAGTCGTCAAGTTCACGACGATGATTTTTATGAAACTTTTGCAGGTTTGTAGAGTAGCTAAAGCAAAGGATACGGATTTCTTTAAGGAGCGTTAATTCAAGTTTCAGGAATGAAATCCTCTCTGAAGTTTCAGCCCTTTGATGCTATCTGTAATCAAACGTTATAGACATTTTTAGAAAGACTGGAAAGTAAGCCAGACTTATTCTAAATTAAAAATCTCAAACTTTGATATTACACATATATTAACAATTGGTAACATTATTAATTTGTCGTATTAATAAACGCTACAGATAGTCATTTATCGAGTTCTTTATTGTCTTATGAGAAGGAGGTTTTTTTTAGTAGAAGTGATAATATTCTATCTAATATATATAATATTTTTATAATATTCTACCCGATTGACAAGGGAAGGGAACACACCGAAGTGTCCGTCTTCGATTTTGATGAACCTTGGCGAATACATTAAGCAGGTGAAAAAAAAGCATACGTATTTTTGTATAGCTGCCCAATCGCAAGTTTCGAGGGTGAAATCACCCCTTGAAGTTTCAGCAGAAAAATGCTATCTCGAAAACTATAATAGATATAAGAAATCTTTTTAGGGAAAAGTTTCATGGTTTCATGAGGTAAGTCAGATTTTGTAAACAGTAATTTGTTTGTAACAAACATATTACATATATATAATGACAAAAATAAACGGAAATTTCTTTCTGAATCAATTGATATATACACTCATGGAGACGATTAAGAGGACAGTTTTTCAGTTTTTTAAGAGGACGTCGTAACTATGGGAGTTTTCAACCAATTTTCGTGGAACATCGTCAGAAGTAGTTTTGAAGTGTCCTCTGGGTGTGTGCAAAGTTGCATTGGCGAAGGTTGATGCGAAGGATTTAATTCACCCCCGCAAAGAGGAGTGGTACAGAAAAACGTCCCAAAAATACCTTTGGGGCGATGAATATATAAGCAACAAATTACTTCCTAACAATATCATACTGCAATGCATACAGTAATAATATAATTAATATTATTATTGTTAATTTTAAACAATCCTGCAATTTTTAATAAATATGTGTCTCATAATAATAGCCGCCTGTATGTCTATACATGAACATATACATTTCATGTGTGGCCGCAGCCCGGCGGATTTGCGGGCCTGTATACAATATTATATGAAAATTTACAAAACTACAGGAGACAAATGTATTATACTATATATCAGTTGAAATTTCCGTTCATTTTTGCCGTTACATAAATTGTATCTCTTAAAATAATGAAACAATAAATTTTGTTGTTATAAACAAATCACTTTTTACAAAATCTGCGACTACTTTTTGTCTTACCTCATGAACCAATAAAACTTTTCCCTAAGAAGATTTCTTATATCTATTATACTTTTCGAGATAGCATTTTTCTGCTGAAACTTCAAGTGGTGATTCACATCCTAAACTTGCGATTTGCTAGCTATAAAAAAAATACGTATGTCTTTGTCACGGAAAGTCCGGCGGATGGACTCTCGCGAACGGGGTGTCGATTCAGTCGGTCGCCAGAGTTGCGGTTACTAGGCGGGCGCGGAACTTACTCTAGTTATACACACACACACACACACTATGCATAGCCCACACGCGAGTTTACCGCGAAGGGAGGTTGAAATGGTCGGGGGACGTTTCGTCTCACAGGGGGAGAAAGCCAAAGCGGTATGCTTGTGCGGCTTTTCCCCAGGCTGGGAGATCGGGGAGGCTCGGAGACAGTCCACAAACGCGTAAAGTCTGCCGGCGATCGGATACCCCTCGTTTCGTGAACTAAGTCACGCCGTAGGGGTCTGGGTAAACGGAGAGTGCGGGTGACGGGGAAAGGTGCTAACGCATCGGTTCGACCATCACTACTCCGTGGAAGGAAATCGTCGGAAGCCGGGAACGGTACACTTCCAAAAAAAGGTGAGAGTGCGAGTGAGCAGGTTTATGTCGGCCTTTATTAATAAGAAACGTGCTGTACTGCCAGCTCGAGCAATTCTGATTCTTGAGCGGAACGGCGGCAGTATATATGTACAGTGGAACGCGGTTTCGCTTGCGCGAGCCATCGTGCGTACCGCAGCGCGCGACTCGCGGACTAGCGGCGGATGGTGATAACGGCCGTGGAGAGGTAGACGGCACGGGTTGGCGCGAGGGAGAGGGTCGCGGCTACCGATAGCGTTACATCCCTTACATGCCTTATTTTAACCTGCTTAATATATCCACCATGTTTCATCAAAATCGGAGACGGACAGTTTGGTATGTTTCCTTGTGAGTAGTGATAAGAGCCTTCTTACTAGTTATCTTTAACAGTGAATAGGGAAAACTATCATGCACTCTACTTCCAATCTTTGTAATCCTTCGGGAAGAGGATTCTTAAACAATCATTCCTGTCTGTTGAGCTTCTTAAAAATTACTTATTAGTTATGACGCTAATGAAGGCACAGAGGATTAACTAACGGACGGTTAGTTAGAGGCACCATACATTCTTTCTTTCTTAATTCTATAACCACAAAGAAATTCTTGTCCATTAAAGAGAATCTAAGACAAAACTTTTCAGCATGCAATAGTTCTTTAGATAGCATCGGGGAGATGACAATTGTAACGTAATTTCAGTCAAACTATTTATCATAACTGCAAGAAACACGTGTCTCTTACTAATTGCTATTCATCCGTTGCAACACGTGCGTACATTGTTATCATAATCGACGACGTACACTTTGCAAGTGATTCTTCTTAGTAATAGATGTAAAACTCTGAAGCTTTTTTAAAAGTATCTTGTAACCCATATTTTGGGCTACTTTCGATAAATTGATATCCAAATATTTGAATCGCGTTGAATTGACGTCAAAGTGTAATAATATAAATTGTCTACACGCTTCATTTTCAGTAAAATTATAATAATCTAGAAGATATCTGCACAAACTCAATCCATAGGCACATTTCAATTTACATTAATTTCAAGAACCATTTTTCTAAGTAGAGTAGATTCTCTATAATTCGTTGAAACTCAGGAGCGAAAACGACGAATTATCGTGTCGAACAGCCGATATTGTAAGTAAAGTTAGAGGAACCGACATTTTGAAAGAGAGGCAACGAAAGAAAGAAAGGGAAATCCGAGAGTCCCTGGTGCGGCAGAAATTAAAGGGTCGTGTCGGTGAAACACACTAACGCAATAACAATAGTTTTTTATTTTTGACTTTTTGGAAGTGAAAATTGTACCGTCGTATTTGTGTTATTTTTCTAAGTAAAATGATACCAAACACGGCATAATTTAGTGCATATTTGCGTGTTTTACAAGGCAAAGGAAACAAACCATTATCATTTTTAAAATAAACAAATATGCACCAAATTATATCATGTTTGGTGTCATTTTAATCAGAATAATACCACAAATATGAAGGTACTTTTTTCACTTCCAAAAAGTCAAAAATAAAAAAACTTTTGTCATTACATTAAGGGTATGTCGACCTTATGCAAGGTCCTCCTTTAGGGCCTAACTTCCTGCTGTCGTTCTTCAATTTTGTTCCTTTGCCACGATTCGCTGTTACAGTGTCGTGTGTTGTATAAAGGTGGAGCCAAATTTTCAACATCGACGTATGCTAAGGGGTCAGAGAGACAAGGGGAGTTTTGTGGTGGGGATGGTTTCCAGCGAATTACGGCAGAGACCGTAATTCAGCGAATTATAGAGAATCTACTGTAGCAGTTCATCATTAGATATTCGGTACTCAGCGATGGACAGGACAAAATCAAAAGGCAGAATTTATTATTCTTTCTTCCATTAAATTATACTTTCATATGTCGAGAATGGTTTATTGACTCTCACTAGGCATGCAAATAATACTGTGTATATTAACTGAATTTGTGTGCATTGTATGTTACTATGAAAAAAAGTAAATTATTCTGTTTTAAAAATCAAGTTCGTTTGTTTCTTAAAACAAAATATTTCCTTTGTTAAAAATGTTCTTTATTAAACTGTCAAAAGTAGGCTATTCCTAGGAATTATTCTTTAGATGGAGTATTTCTCAAATATGTGGTCAAATTTTATCAGCATATTCCACAAATCGTGTTGATGTACAACCATAATTTCAATACAAAGAAATATTAGAGATAAAAAAAGATGCAGAAGATACTTA